TGAAGACTCAGGTGTTATTCCTCTGTACTCTGTAAATTCACTACTATGTCCCACCCTTCAAACTGAAATACAGCCAAGCAAACACAGCTGCTTCACGGTTGAAACACGAATGGGATAGAGGTGCCCAAGCAAACGTCTTTTGTACAAAGTCTCCTGGTATATCCTCTCTAGTATATAGTATTTCAGGTCTTCCTCTGCTCTTATAGCCATTCACATTCATTCTTAATACCTTTCTTAAGCCTTAACCTTTAATGCCTATTTTAATTTTTAATACCTTTTTACAGTTTCGACCGTCATATAGTTAATATGAGACCAAAAACGGTCTTATCTATTGCAAAAATATGTATCAAAATCGATTCAAAATTGCCGGCCAGTAGCATAAAATAGTTACATAAAAAAAAATTTAAATGTAGATCCTCAGACTTTAGAAACCTGATTATTATGAGTATAACTATGGAACTCTATTACGGCGTATGCGTTTCACACTTGGCAGTTTTTTAATCTGCCCTCAGTTTTGTAATCTCCACGCCCTAATGTTGGCGACATCGGATAAACACTGCTTAATGTTGTTTGAAAAACAGCACAACGGAGATAAGAAGATAAATAGGTATTTTTAACTGTTTAAACATTTTATGCGAAATCAGTTTTTTAATGTTAACTTTTATTCAATAAAAACTGATAAACAAACTGACGGCTCATCTGATTAAGATGTTTTTTTTACACAGCTTAGAAAGGCAAACAAGCTGACGGTCCACCTGATGGAAAGTGGTAACCGTCACCTATAGACATGAGCAGTACCATGGACATAACAGAGTATACTTTTCGCCCATGATACCCCCCATGCGTTGCCTTTCCTGAGGACTCAGGTGTTATTCCTCTGTACCCTGTAAATTCACGCCATATCCCACCCTTCAAACCGAAACACAGCCATGCAAACACAACTGCTTCACGGTTGAAACACTAATGGGACAGAGGTACCCAAGCAATCGACTTTTGCACAGACTCTCCATCTGGTAATAACTAGGGATGGGTAATATATAGCTATATATTTTAGTTACAATATCTATATATTGGTCCAAAAAGGAATGTATTAAAATTTGTTATCTAAAAAATAATATTGGATAACAGACTTTTAACATATTCGTAAATAAATATCCAACTGATATGGGCGATATCAATATAGGTGAAAAGACCTTTTCCCACAATTTAGAGCTCCACAAAAAAAAACGTGGACTACTTTCCTAGCAAAATCAGTTAATTTAGTTTAAAAACTAAAGTACTTAAACGATCTTGATATAATATCTATAGTATCAGCTTGAAAGTATAACCTTTTAGATAAAGAAATAATTTTCCAAATCGGTTTACAAATGACGGAGTACTGAGGTAACAAACATAAAAAGAAATACAACCGATTTGATGATCTCCTTCTTTTTTTAAATTGGTTGAAAATACTATTAGACTCATATGCAATAGTGGATCAAAACTGGTTGGTAGAAAAGAAAAAAAAACAATCCACCAAAAAAGCTCCAAATAGGCCAAACAAATCTAACAATTACCAGGATAAAGTTAAATATAAAATCCGCTAGGCCACCAAATAATTAATTAATACTGTCCCCAGCAAAAAACTCGATTTCAAAAGAATGAAGTCCCCAAACCAAATTTCACAGTCAAAAAGCACAATATCTAATCACAGTTGACAAAAAGAAAATTAACAACACAATGCGATAGCTAAATTAAATATCACTTGTCCAACAAGAGGTTTTGATGGAGGGCACAAAGAATGGAATAACACTTGAAATATTTCAATTACACGACTGTCATTGACAAAGGTTTGTAGTCGATTTTTATCCCCCGTTTTGATCGAAATAAAAAAGTACGCTCACGACTACAAAACCTAATTGGGCAGTCAGGATATGTCTGTTGCCGTTGTGGTGAGACATAATCGTAATCAGAGAGATGGGGGGGTGGGAATTATTATAGAAGAAGTGTTTTTTTTTACCAGAGGGAGTCTTTGTACAAAAGTCGGTTGCTTGAGTACCTTCCATTCGTATTTCAACCGTGAAACAGTTGTGTTTGCATAACTGTGTTTCGGTTTGAAAAGTGGGATATGGCGTGAATTTACTGGGTACAGAGGAATAACACTTGACTCCTTAGGAATGGCAAAGCATGGGGGGTATCAGGGCGAAACAGTATACTCTGTTATGTCCATGATACTGCTCATAACTATAGGAGACAGTTACCACTTTCCATCAGGTGGGTCGTCAGCTTGTTTGCCATTCTAAGTTGTAAAAAAAGAAAAAGATTATAAAGGAATGGAATAGTATGCCTGCCTGCGCTATCGGGGTACGCTGGTAGGGTATAAGTGTGGGTCGATAGGTGAGGTTAAAAGCAGGTCAGTTGGCCCATAGTGATTAATTTATTAAGAATAAATAATGATGGATTCCAGGGGAAACCGCGTGGAGATCGACCAGTATTGCTAGCAATGGGACGTCTAGTTTCCATTACTAAATTACTACATTAAATCCTTACTAATATTATAAATGTGAAAGTCTTTTTGTTTGTACCTGTTAGCATCTGAATGATTTAATTAACTACTATGAAATTTGTATACATTGGATGTAGGAGCACATCCTGCGGACGAAGTCGTGGGTAAAAGCTATAACTTACTGGTTATTTTTTTTATATCCTATAAAAAATAGAGAATAGAGGAGGCAAAATGCTGGACCATTTTATACGACACGACGATTTTTGAAAGAATATAGTAGAAAGAAAAATAGAAGGCAAAGGCAAAGGCAAGGCAAAGGAAGGGGAAGATCGAGGAATAACTACGCGGGGCAGATAAAGCAAACACTGTCTGTTATGTCGTATAGAGAGGCCAAGGATATGGCCTGGGATAGAGCTGGCTGGAAGAAGATGCATTAATTAGTTGCACCGACAAGAGGAAACTCTTAAATGAGGAGAAATAAAATAAATAACCAGAGAGTTATCTTTGTAAATATTATTAGTAGGTAGTACAATTAGATGGTAAGATATTCTGTAAAATAAACGGAAACGTAAATTAAACTTTTCACATAAAATATTTAATTATATAAACCTACATGACACCACAAGGGAAATTAATCGAATTAATTTGTCGCTTATAATCTTATTTTAGGTTCATATTTGAATTTTAATTAAATACATATTAAATCCCGAGAGGCGAACTCAATTTAATACTATATTAAAAATGGCAGATTGAAAAATTCAAATTAAATTAAACCATATTTTAAATTAATTCAAACGTCAAAGGTATTTCCTTGTATTGTTATTAATACTAGTTTTAATTCGTAGCTTTGCTTGCATGAACTAAGATAAAATGTGTAAAATTTTCCACGTGTTCTTGGCAAAGAATGGCTTTTCCTTAATAGTGGGCGTCTTAAGAGGTGACTAAGGGAATTCACCAGAAGTGAAGAGACTTTGTATAAAAGTCGTTTGCTTGGGTACCTCTGTCCCATTCATGTTTCAACCGTGAAACAGTTGTATTTGCACAACTGCGTTCCAATTTAAAGGGTGGGATATGGCAGTGAATTTACAGGGTACAGAGGAATAACACCTGAGTCCATTGAGAATGGCAATACATGGGATGTATCATGGGCGAAACAGTATACTCTGTTATGTCCATGGTACTGCTCATATCTATAGGTGACGGTTACCACTCCATCAGATGGACCAGCTTGTTTGCCATTCTAAGTTGTATAAAAAAACTTAAAGGTGGTGGAATAGGTGGCAGCGTTTCTTTTAAAATATCACCAAAGTGTAACTGCCTCTAAAGCCTAACTGCCAACCCGCTTGCCAAGTATGGTAACTACTGACAAAACTCCCCAATAGGAGAGGGCCTATATTCAGCAATGAATAGTTAAAATTTGATATGATGATGGTGATGAGTGAAACTTAGTTTGTTTTGTGTATTTCTCGAATAGAATTTTTCACTTAACTAATGTTACAATATATAATATAGGATGTGAGGCTAGAGTCTGTTGGTAATAGGGATTTAATATTCCCATTGCTAGCAATATACCCTATGACATCGATCTCCACGCGGTTTCCTTGAAACATTATTAGGATTTATTCTCGTGGAATTCAGCACGATGGATTGCTATCGTTCTCACCTATCATCCCTCACTAGTGCCTTATCAGCTTATTATATACCGATAGTGCGAGCAGGTTTCCATTATGTTATCACCCTTTAAAAAAATTCCGGTCAAGTGCGAGTCGGACTAACGCAACGAGAGTTCCGTACAAAATTATCAAGTTTAATTTTTCTTGCGAAATAACTACAAATTTACGGTTTTTAAATTTTTCCCTTTACCTATGCTACACGACATTGCTCTTTCTGCTAAATTTCATGTTAGGTACCTACCTATCTACCTAGGTAGGTTTTGATTCCCTCTGCGAATGTCAAAATTTGCGATATAAATGGAATATAAACGGCCGTATCTTTTAATTTCGTCAATTTAGACGCTTGATTTTTTCACTGCTTTATGAAATTGCAGACTTGAGTATACAATATTAATTTTAACTTGATACCTCTACGCATTTCTAAGAAAAAGGGTCTTGACAGAAGGAAGGACAAGGAAGTGATCCTATAAGGGTTCCGTTTTTTTTCTTTTGGAGCTACGGAACCCTAAAAATGTTAATATAATAGTAGTAATACTTTAGATTATAAGTAACACGTATAATACAATAATATTGTGTAACTATACTATTTTTTCTAGGACTTTTGTATGTTGTTATGTTATGGATCATGGCTGAAATGCCGTTGATACATTAAATGTTGGGTTTAACTACATATATAATTATCATTTAAAAAATACTTTAACATTTTTTTTGTTAATGATTCAGACTCAAGAATACACCGATACATCTGTTGTAATATTTACATTTTGTTTTCTTTATTTTGTATGACGTATTTGAGTGTGCACTATGACAAAAACAGGTTCAATTAAAAGGAAAAAAAAATGTTTTTGAATATCGAATGTCGAATTATTATTAAATCGATTCAAATTATCAACATTCAGATACAGGTATACATTTTCCTGTTTTCAAATTTCGAACTGTAGGCACATCGCAGAAACAGTCGGGGATGTCACACGCTCCCAATGTTGTAGGCAAGTTGTTAACGTCAGAATTGACACATGATGGTTCCTCCACGCGTGGGCAGTACAGCACAGAGTGTTCGCCAGGAGGGCATGTTTCTATAAGAAAATACAAACGGCTATTTACTGTATATATGCTATGTACTATATACCAGAGCGAGACTTTATACAAAAATCGTTTGCGTGGGTACCTCTGTCCCATTCGTATTTCTATCGTGAATCAGTTGTTTTCGTGGTTGTGTTTCAGTTTGTATGGGATATGGCAGTGAATTTACAGGGCACAGAGGAATTAACACTTGAGTCCTCAGGAATGGCAACGCATGGGAGGTATCATGGGCGAAATAGTATACTTTGTTATGTCCATGGTACTGCTCATGTCTGTAGGCGACGGTTACCACTTTCCATTAGGTGCACAGTCAGCTTGTTTGCCATTCTAAGTTGCATAAAAAAAAAGGATATAATAGAAGAACATAATATATAATATATATTATGTTATGATATAATATATATTATGTATATATATAATATATATTACGTATATAATATATATTATGTTATGATATAATAGAAGAACACGAGTTTTATAATAAAAATCTATTAGAAATTAATTCATTTACAGGTTGTTTATTGGCTTTATTTAGGATCTGCAGGTCTACTATGAAATGAAATTCCGAAATTTCGGACACAATTTCGTGTTTTTCTTTATACCAAAATCGGACCAATAAATGGAGTTTAACATTTCGTTCGTCATACATCCTATCATAAAAGTACAAAGGAACAATATTTTAACATTTTTAATATTTCCAAACGGCATGTATTATGTAATTTTAACATCAAATTTTTGTTCCGTTTGGCTCCGAAATTTCGGAAAAAATTTCATGGTAGGTCCTCTGTATGTAAGTAAGTACCCTGTAACTAAGTCGCCATGTGGTCCTTGTATAGAATGGGCGGCTCTTTTCTTTCCTGTAGGTGTTGTGATAGGCGAAAAAGGGAACTAAATTGTCGAGGAATGTACAGCAGCGTCCCTCTTAAAACATCACCAAAGCCTAACTGCTGTTGTCAACCCGATTGCCAAACGTGGTAACTACTGGCAAAACTCACCTTTATGAGGGAGTCTTATGTTCAGCAGTTAACGGTTGATATGACGACGATTATGATACCATAACATATGGTAAAAAATGCCATCAGGTATTAACTCCACCCAGATATATGTGTACAAAAGTATAAATGATAAAAAAATAAATAAACATATAAAACATTACAAATCGAAAACTTCCTGTTTTAAAAAAAAAAATAAGTTGAATAAAAAAGAGTTATCGATGTCAAATATTTTTTGCATTTTTTTTTTATTATACAACTTAGAATGGCAAACAAGCTGACTGCCCACCTGATGGAAAGTGGTAACCGTCGCCTATAGACATAAGCAGTACCATGGACATAACAGAGTATATTGTTTCGCCCATGATACCCCTCACGCATTGCCATTCCTGAGGACTCAGATGTTATTCCTCTGTACCCAGTAAATTCACGCTATATCCCACCCTTTAAACCGAAACACAGCCATGCGAACACAACTGTTTCACGGTTGAGACACGAATGGGACAGAGGTACCCAAGCAATCGACTTTTGCACAAAGTCTCCCTCTGGTAATTTTACCTAAGAAGTAACTAACAGTACTCACTTATTGGTATACCCTGACCATTCACAAACACCACTGCTGTCGCAAATAAAAATACAATACTTGGATGCATTTTGTCGAATAATCTACACGTCTTTTTAGCTTGAAGATACACACTTTATATGTTTTTCTCTTAATAGGACAAACCTTTTTATACCAGTCTGAGCGAGATAGGGGAATAACTAAACACCGCCGGCAATAAACGATATACTGAGCCGCCGGTATGCATTCATTAGCAGTTTTCCTTATAATAAATACAAAGTGAATAAATAAAATTCATTATGCGCAACAAATAAAGCGTTCATTTTTCGATTGCGCACATCGACGCGACGGTAACGATCAACGAGGTTAAGCAACGTTTAGTATGTTTATAAATTGGATGGGTGACCATATAGTACGGGTTTAATTTTATTAAATGTTACTATAATATAATGATTTTTTATTTATTCTTCTTGATTAGTTGTTGAAGAAATATCTCCCTGACATTATGTAGTATTTTACTGTATATATATATATATATATATATATATATATATATATATATATATATATATATATATATATATATATATATATAGAGAGAGAGAGAGAGTATTTTTGTATGTATGGAAAATTCTTTTTTTATCTGATCTTACTTTCAGATTCGTTTTATTCATCGATTCTGTTAAAATTTCATCGAAATCGATTCAGTTGTTTAGTGTATAAATCAAAATAACTGGTTTTTGTCTCGTTTGAAGTAGGTTTCATTTTTTGAACTCTTCTGTGTTTACTTTTTTTTTATTTAATTATTGTATAATATACATATTAAAAACCAATTTTTGGTACCACTCAAACCTCTTCGGCTCGTGTGAGCACATATGGAAACAAAAAATTCGTTAAAATCATTAAATTAATTTGGATTTTAATTAAAAATTATTTACATTGATGAAATTGAAATTTAATTATTTAATTATTGAAATCTTTATGAAAATTTAAGGATCGACGCCCTCCTTCGCCTCCTGCGCCCGACAGGGTCTACAATGTACTATATCAATTATTAACATTTTTTATAATAATATTGTAGAAACAATAAATAAATTGAATTGAATTGAATATTCTGCTGTATAACAAGGTTGAACCAAAAATATAATTATTTTTTATATTATAATATATTAGTTAAAATCTTAAGTTAAAAAATGATGCATTTAAAATTTGTAAAATATCTGAATACATAATTTAGATTACATCATAAATGTAGGAAAAATTTGTTACAATGTTTTGGCGTGAATTTACTGGGTACAGAGGAATAACACCTGAGTTCTCAGGAATGGCAAGGCATGGGGTTATCATGGGCGAAACAGTATACTCTGTTATGTCTATGGTACTGCTCATATCTATAGGCGACAGTTACCACTTTCCATCAGGTGGGCCGTTGTTTGTTCGTCGTTGTTGGGCCGTCAGCTTGTTTGTCATTCTATGTTGTATAAAAAAAAAAACATTGTTGTACTATTCGTGCATTAATAGTAAAATAGTCATTTACTGCTGTGTGGTCCCGGATAGAATAGGCCACAACTTTTTTTCCAGTGGGTCTCGTAAGAGGCGACTGAGGGAACTTAGTGGTCGAGGGATGCGTAGCAGTGTTTCTCTTAAAACATCTCCAAGGCCTAACTGCGGTTGCTAACTCGCCTGTCAAGCGTGGCAACTCCCACTGACAAAACTCCCCCTTGTGGGGGAGGTTTAAGTTTAGTAGTAAACCTCTCAATAGAAGGAGGCCTATATTGAGCAATGGACAGGTAATGGCTGATCTGATGATTCATAAGCTCTAAAGACCTATTTCTTAATCGATGACTAAAAACATTTGCAGTTAATGTCATATGACGTCACATGTTAAGATAAAGCGGCTATACCCCTTTTATAGCCGGCTGCTTAGAGATATTAGGTCGAGACTGTGTCCTTTACGATATAACCCATATTGTTATTAGGAAAAGGGGCCATTTAATATAGGGTTGTCACCTATGTAATTTATAAATTAGGTTCAGTAACTAATGTAGCTTAAAAAATCCACTAGGGTTTTTAAACTAAAAGGAGACTTACATAAGACATCTCCATTTAGAAGAACTGTTCTGGTTCTCCAATAGTAAGGTTTTGTAGAATTATAAATAGCTGCAGTGACCAGGTCGATAGTAATCTTGATACTCCAATTGTTTTTGTACGAAATATCTATAAATATATAAAACGAGTCGTGCTGCTGGATCTGCTTATGGATATGGTGGCTTTACTTGTTATTTGTTAAGCATTTAATAATAGTTGTAAGCTATATATATTTCTCCGTACTTATTGTTATACATGTATCAATATATGCTGTGTTTGCCTATAAAAAATTGTTATACTTAGTTTTAAGCTCCATAATTGTATATATATATTTACATTATTTTGTGGAGACAATTGTTGGTAAACCTAAATAAATAAATAAATAAAATCTATTGGGGAACCTCTGTTCCGTTCGTGAAACAGAAGTTTGCATGGCTGTGTTTCAGTTTGAAGGGTGGTATGGCGATGAAACTACAGTGTAAAGAGGTATAACATCTTAGTCCTCAGGAATGGCAATACATAATGTCATGGGTGACACCGTATACACTGTTATGCCCATTGGTATTGTTCGTGTTTAAAGGGGTCAGTTACCACTTTCCATCAGATGGCCCGTCAACTTGTTTGCCATTCTTAATTGCGTAACAAAACTTGACATATAGGATGGTAAATAAATAGATGACCCGCCTGATGGAAAGTAGTAACCGTCACTTATAAACATGAACAGTACCACGAACATCATAGAATACACTGTGATGCATGGTTGCCCTTACGCGTTGTCATTCCTGAGGATAATGGTATTATATGAAGAGATCGCTTTTAGCGATAAGGTCGCCCGTTGTTTTTTCATTGTGATTATTTCTTGTAATTGTTTATATTTATAATAAGTTTACTATTGTAATCTTTTGGAGGAAACAATAAAGAGTTTCTATCTATCTATATGTTTACATTTCGAAAATTTCCTTTCAAACTAGAATACGGCTATGCAAGCATAGTTTCACGATTGAAAGACAAGTAAGGCAAAGAGTGGAGATTACCTCAGGGTAAGTAAAATATGGGTTTTTTATAGGATGAAAATAAAATTATAACCTCGCCTGCCCTTTCGGTATAAGCTGGTGCCCTTACGGTTTTTTTTAATGGATGATTAATGCAATGGTAACCCCGCCTGCGCTATCGGTATACGCTGGCGGGGCACCAGTGAGAGGTGATAGGTAAATAATGAAAAAAGAAAGGTCAGTCAGTCCATAGTGATGAATACATATGGAATTCAGCACGATGGTTTTCAGGGGAAACCGCGTGGAGGTCGACCTGACAGGGTATATTGCTAGCAATGGGACTGGTAACCCGCATTACTAATGATCCCTTCCCCCCGCCCTTTCGGTTTAGGTGTACATAACAACAAAAACAAGTCAGGTAACCTATCGTAACCAATGCAACAAGAATTTAGTACGATGGTTTTCCAAGGAGAGTCACGTGGAGAGTATATTGCTAGCAATGGGGCCTATTGGTCCCTATTACTAACAATATCATTCCTCCTAGTGTAATATGGTTTTTTTTTTATTTTTTTTTAATGGGTGATAATGGAATGGTAACCCCACCCGCGCTATTGGTATACACTAGCGGGGCACCAGTGAGGGATGATAGGTGAGGATGAAGCAAATTAGTTAGCCCATCGTAACAAATTCAACAAGAATTGTTCACGATGGTTTCCAGGGGTAACCACGTGGAGGTCGACCTAATAGGGCATATTGCTAGCAATGTCGAACTCCATTGCTAACAATACCTTTCCCCCCAGAGTAATATGGGTTACCCCCTATTAAGATTTTACAAAATTATTGATAGCGATAATATGTGTAAAGCACAGAAGTATAGAACGTGGCGCACTTTGAGAGAATTCTATGTTTAGCAGTGAACAACTCTGGATTCACGAAGAAAATATCTAATAATTAAAAATAACTTATTAAACTTAACGACTATAAATCAGAACTGCATGTTAAATCCTATTCGTAAGATGACAACCCTAATTTTTCATGTCGTCTTGTAGACACAATAGACAATAATAATTTTATTTATCCAATTTTTTTACTGCTTTCTTATTCATGTTTAATTCAATTAGGTAGAGTAATTTATTAATTCTTGGCTCATATACATATATAGGTATGTCCGCTTTAATTTTAATAAAAAAAAAATCATTCAAATTTAAGAGGGAAAATTAATAATTATATTAGCTTTTTATTTCTTTCCTTTCTGTTATTATATTCTTCATCATCTTTTTTAGGGTTCAGTAAAGTAAACTCTATGTGTAGTTATTCTTTTATTCCACAAAGCAAAAAAGGGGATTCAAGATTCAAGATTTATTTATTTGTAAAACATGCGTATAAATACATGCAGATGTTGACAATATAATGTCGTTCGACATGTTTAGCCTGTACGGCATACAAACGTATGTAGTAACACAGATTGTTCACATTATACATCAAGTCCATTTTATACCATTAATCGTCATCACATTCCAAATTTAAATACATTTAAATAAATAATAATTGTCAGGCAAGAATAAAAGAACGATGTCGCAGTAATGTTAATAAATATAAATAAATATTCGTTTTGTCAAATTTTATCATTAAAAATTCACATACATTGTAATAACATTTATCGATTAAGAATTTTTTTAATTTATACTTAAATACATTAGTTGGTTAGCAACCTTTATAGGGAAAGTAAAAAAACTAAAATATTGATCAAAATGTCAGTTTAATTTATAAATAAATTAATGCCACTTTGATTTAATATATAATTAATAAATTATAATAAATAACATTTACTATTTACTATTTTAGTATACTCAGACGGTTAACACTTTTAATCGCCGTTTCAAAATTTTAGCATTCCAATTTACATTAAAAAATATATGATATATTCTTTTTTTCTTTCTTTTTCCTTTATTGTACATAAACGTAATGTTTAAAACAATTATTTTAAACATAATGTACAAAGGCGAGTTTATCACTAATAAGAGATTTCTTCCAGCAAACCTTTTCATGTGAATTAAATTGATATTTTTAAGAATAAAATATTGTATTATATACTATTACCT